AATGAATGAAAATGAATGAGAATGATATTGTTGAATGTTGATAATTGATAAATGGAATTATGGAGAAATAAGAATGTAAATTGTAGAGAGTATTGTATTTGTATAGTAAATAATGAGAGAATAATGAGAGATTGATATTGATGGGAAAAAATGGTTGATTATGGTGGGTATTTATAGAAGAAAAATGTATGTGAAATTGAAAAAAATAATAATAATAATTTTAAGTGACCAAACGGTCACTGAACAAACCGTTTGGTTTTGTTCGGTGACCGTTTGGGTCAATTTTTTTTTTTTTCTTTTAGACACGAGCCGAGCCGGCTCGTGGCTCTTGTCTAGACGAGCCCAGAGCCGGCTCATGGGCTTGTCTTGACGAGCCGCTCGCCGAGCTGCTCGTTGCTTAACGAGCCGAGCAGGCTCGTCTACCGAGCCACCTGCTCGGCTAGTGCTCGGGCTCGTTTTTTTACGAGCCTGAGCGACTCGTGGGTATGAATAGTGCTAGCCGAGCACCCGAGCCGACGAGCCGCTCGACCCAATTGCCACCGCTACTCCTTTTGATTGACAAAAATACAAGAGTGGCAATCTATGCAACAACAAATATTGCTACGGCATATTCCAACCAAGAAGTCGAAACTTCTATTTCTACCATTCTAATATCATAAATCTTTCAATCTGATAAGGAATCTACAATATCTCAAGATGATGAAATAATATAATGATCCTCTTAAGCATTCATTAAGGGCACAGTTGGCTCCCGGTGTGCAGAAGGAGCTCGAGGGACTAGAATGTAGGGCAATGCAACAAAAACAAATAAGGGAGTATCAAAGCTCGAATTTGGCATGCGAAAAAAATAAATCCACCGTCAAGAACACTGCCTATTATTATCCGTGATACAAGTCCAACTAATAAGAAATATAGGAAATGGGTCAAGTGGTTTGGAATTTTTTAGTTGTGTTTCTAGGATAATGCCAAGGCGAAGTATGAACCATAACAAAATCATCCCCTTTAAATTCTCTCTGACTGTGATCTATGTCAGCAAGAAACTTAAAGGGTGTTTAACACCCGTTTTTAGGATAATAAAATTTTTGGAATAGTGATTGATGGGAGAATGTGTGGTGGAAAAATTAAGAAAAGTTTTAGATTTATGTGTAATATTATTTTATTGGGAGAATGTGTGGTTGAAATGAAGAAAGAGAAAAAAATAAGAATGAGAATGAGAATAGAATGGGTGCCAAACAGGGGCTTAATTCTCATTACTCGAGCAAATATTTATCTCAGCATGTAGATCATAAATAGGGACAACAAAGGCAACTTAGGTTGAAGTAAAAAGATAGTAACTATCAAGCAAGTGCATATATAAATATTTGACATTAAACTTGTTTGATAGTTACTATATTTTTTACTTCAATCCAAATCGCCTTTGTTGATTTACCAATTTTGGTAAGCAAACTCAGTGTTCTAAAAAGATCGTCTTGGCAGCGCCTAGGCTCGAATCTCGGGCAAAATGCTCGCTTCGCACTAGCTTTTTTTTTCTCATTCCTAAACGACTGAATTTTTTCGTTCATCTCTTTCGTCTTCCTTAGGCGGCGCGCTTTATTAATTTTTTTTTTCAAAAGTCTTTTATTTGACTTTAGCTTATTATTATTTTTTTTATTTTTAAAAAACTTTTTCATTTGACTTTAATTTTAAGTTTTTAAAAGATTTTATCTAGACAAAAGTTAAAAATGACTTTATCTAAATAGTAAAATAAGATTTAAGTTATGGTGTTATCTACATTATGTAATTATGATCTTGAGACTCATTATTTTGTTGCAAACTCTAAAAACATGTATGAAGTTCTTATAAATCTATTAAGTAGGACTTGTCTAATTGAAATTATGAAAAACGTTCTAATTTTTGCATTTCGAAAACTTGAAAATTGTATAATTGACTAGTGATAAGAATTATTAAATAATTATAGTATTATAATTTTAGATTTTTATATGTATTATTTTAATTATTAAATGATTTAAAATAATTAAAAATTAAAATAATATTAAAAATAAGAAAATGCTTTTTTACGCATAAGTCTGGCCTTAAGCTCATAAAGGTTAAAGTTTCGCTTCCACGCCTAGCAACTCTTTACTTTTTTTAGAACACTGAACAAACTACAATGTAGGTAAGACGAATCCCAGTTACCTATCCTCTCATGAGCCAAAGATCCAAGAAAATCCCCAAGACTACAGTATAACCTCTATTTGACCATCTAAGTGAGGGTGGAAAGAACATGAACATTTTAAAGTGGTTTTTTAAACAATTTCCAAAGTCCCAAAGTGACAAACAAAGTTGACATTCCGGGGTCATTTGTATAATGCGAGCAACATAAACATATCTTCAATTGATTCTATGATCTTATTCCTCCTAAAATGTCCAACAAGCGTTGGTTTGAGCTGCTAAAGTTTTATGAACTGGGCAGATGGTACCAGAATGCAGGATATGGTGATATGTTACTTTTTTATCAAAGGCATAATCAACCTCTGTGATAGTTGATGGGGCTTGTAGCCTCTCTCTGGTGCTCATTTCATTAATTGTATATACACACATATTTGTTTTTATATATGGAGCAAGGACTTGTAAGCCTGTTCCAAATCTTGGTGGATTAATCATCAATCTGAAATCTGTTATGCAGTTATCATTTGTAGACACGATACATCAAAACAGACATGGAACATTATTTAGCCTCTAGAGAAGCAGCTGGCATGTCTTCTGTATTTATCACAAGTTAATAGCTAAATTCTACTACTTGAAGGGGAAAAACATAATACCCTTTTATTGTGGCGAAATATACATGTTAAATAATCAGCAGGCCTCACAATCATGTTAAACAAAAGCACTGAAATAAAAAATACTTTCATCAGTTAAAACTTGTGTATAATCCTGCAAGCCTCACTACATTCATTAGGTAATGAATCACACAATTTTAGCTCTTCCCCTCCTTTCCCAGAAGAACCCTGCACCCCCAAATAATAATAATGAAAAAGAGAAACAGAAAAAGTAATAATTATATGCATGCTTGTTGATCTTATTAGATTACCCTGGAGTTATCCCAATAGAAGGGTGGCTACTATCAAGGATTCTGAAATTTTTGAATGTTTTAGGACAAGAAAAAGAATAGATGGTTTCAGGGGACTGATAAGAACTTCTGTGAAGACATTTATTAATCACCTGGCCTTGCATATTCTTTCTCCTGTAATTATTTTATCATTTTGTATACATTAAACGAGATTGTAAAAAAAAATTTGTCCTTAGCCTTTCACATATTATTTCTCCCAAATCTGCATTTCCTGTCATAATTGACTCTACTGACAGAATATCTTGCTACCCACGGACAACTATTTCTTGCTATTGCTCGACCCCACTGAAGGAAGTTCTTCGATGTGATCTTATATGTCAGTTTATTTTTTATTTTATTTGGGGTACTTATTCCTTGCTATCCTTCTTGCAGGTTACTTCTTTGGCATGCTGCAGAGAATCTGGCTTTGAAATGCCTACAAGTTGTAACATCACACGTGGTCTCAAGATCCAAGGTTCTCAGGCGTTAGAGAAGTGGCATAAAATGGTAGCAAAAAATGTAGAATTCAATGCCCATTGCCCAACTAGAGATGAGAGCATAACATTTGTTGGCCTACCATTTTCAAAAGACAAGACTGTGTCATTCATTTCACAGTTGGGGTTTTTATCAATCCCATCTAATCATCTCTTTTACAGAAAGGTGGGATCTTTTCCAATAATCAATTAATCTTAGTCTACATATGCATCTGGCGTTTGTGAGGATCTTTTATTCCTAGTTGGTCATTGAGAAAATGTTTAACATCACAACTAAATAATTCTTTTTTTTTTTTTTGCTGCATGCTGTGAGTAGTGCAGTTCTTAGTTACATTTTAAACCTAACGTTAGCATCTGACTGCTAGAAATGCTTAAATTAACATTAATTACTTGGATATGATGATGTGAGGAGCTTTTTCTTCATATATCATCCATCCCTTTAAAAAGGTTTCATCTTCTCAACTGGGTATGAACTATTTAAAGAACCAGATGTTAATCAGATTGCTTACTGGTTTTGGATGAATTGATGACTTTTCTTTGTTTGTCATATTGTCGATGTTAAATCATCTATTACTAGAAGTTGACTTCTGAGCTAGATACTGCACGTGGGGGAGGATTCTTATGCAATCTATTCCTCCTCTAATTGAATTTCCTTAGTTGATTTATTTCATGAGCTGTATAGTTCTTTTCAACATAATTTGAGAAGGAAATAGAAAGTTTACTTTGATCCTGGCTTTGGCTTCCTGCAGAATGAATTGCAAATGAAAGAACTTCAAGATCATGCCACATATTATTGTGATAGCAATTCATTTGGTCTCGCGAAAATATGCTTGTGGATTCTTGTCGGAGTGATAATAAGCTTCAACATACCTAAGTTACATGAAAAGTTTTCGAGTCGAAAGCATGAAATTATCCAGGAAACACCATGTGCTCAGCAAACTCAGCTGCTACAGCAGGCCCAAAGTTCCTCCAGAAGTACTGGGAAGTGGAGGAAAAAAATGTTGATTGTATTTGTCTTAGCTGGTGTTGTTTTTTCCATTCGGTTATTTTGGTACTTGAGTGAAGATATAATCTTGAGAAGGAAGGAAACACTGGGTAGTATGTGTGATGAACGTGCTCGGATGCTCCAGGACCAATTTAATGTAAGCATGAACCATGTCCATGCATTGGCGCTTCTTGTTTCAACTTTTCACCACGGAAAGCAGCCTTCAGCTATAGATCAGGTAATAACGCAATATTTCCTAATCACCTTTTACCTTTCACTTATACCGTGATCCTCGAGTCTATACTTACCAAAAAAATGGAAGTAAAAACCAGTTTCGCATAAAACTTATATGCACTATGTTGATTGATCTATGTACTCATTGATGTCATACGATAAGCCTGGCTGATGTTTTGGATTCTGCAGAAAACTTTTGAAGACTATACTGAGAGAACAGCTTTTGAGAGACCACTTACCAGTGGCGTTGCTTATGCTTTAAGAGTTCGTCACTCGGAGAGGGAGGAATTTGAGCTGCAGCAAGGATGGGCAATTAAGAAAATGGAAACAGAGGATCAAACTCTAGCTCAAGATTGTAACCTAGAGAACTTTAGCGCTTCACCGATCCAAGAAGAATATGCACCCGTCATTTTCTCCCAGAAAACTGTCTCTCATATTGTCTCTATTGATATGATGTCTGGAAAGGTCCGTGCTTTACAACTTTCTTTTACCTATAGTCAACTTCGAATTACTAGTTTAGAGACTTCACTCCCCTTGATCTGATAGCACCATGACTAATACAAGTATAAAAATATTAGCTTATAGTGCAAGGCTTCAAGGAAGTGAAATCAGTAATTCTTAAAGAAATATTTATTTTACTGAATTCATACTCTTCTGTGCATCCATTAGTCATTTTGATTAGTACAACCAAATAAGAAAAAGAAAAGGAGTCCTATTTAGCCTGAAGGCTGCGGGGATGTGAAATAAATAATTCTCACAGGAAATTGAGGCATTTTCAGATAAGAGGTTTCACCTAAGTCATTCTCGGAGAATAATTGTCTGTGTCGAGTTTGAATCTTTATGGGTGACTTATAACTCAATTGGTGTTGGTGAACCCTGAACCTGCTTTCAGTACAACGGTGAAGTTTTACACTTAACTAGTGCATAAAAAAACCTCAGAATTAGTGGCACATTTTTAAAGTGGTTTATATAGAAATATATGGAACTTTATGTTGCAATATACCAGCGAATTGGAATACAATTTTTAGTCCAGCATGATTTAAAGCTAAAACTTGTCCACATGCATTTTAAGTCTTATCATCATTCTCATTTAGGAAGATCGAGAGAACATCTTGAGGGCTAGAGCTTCTGGAAAGGGAGTCCTAACATCACCTTTCAAGCTACTGAAATCCAATCATCTGGGTGTTGTACTTACTTTTGCCGTGTACAACACTCATCTTCCTCCCGATGCTTTGCCTGAGCAACGCACCAATGCTACTGTGGGGTAATGAAATACTCAGTTTTTGTTATATGGAGTAAAGTATTGTTCTTTATGATTTTCTTTGTATTTTCTGATTCTCGATTGTTCATTTCTCTTTGTTTCTGTGATGTTTGATGCTCCATAAAAGGTATATAGGTGCTTCTTATGATGTTCCATCACTAGTTGCTAAGCTTCTACATCAGCTTGCTAGCAAACAGACTATTTTTGTAAATGTTTATGATACAACTAACAAGTTGGCACCGATTAAGATGTATGGAACTGATGAGATCGACACTGGGTTACTGCGTATTAGTAACCTTGATTTTGGAGATCCAACTAGGAAGCATGAGATGCATTGCAGGTTAGACATTTGACGTGTTTGAAGTTTATATAGATGCAAACTGAGAAATCTCACATTTATCTAACTTTTTTTTTAGCAAGTCACATGCTTCCAAGTAAATTTATTTTTTCTTTTGGTCACAGGTTCAAACAAAAACCTCCTCCACCCTGGCAAGCGATAACTGCATCTGTTGGAGTACTGGTTATCACTTTACTTCTTGGTCATATCTTCCATGCTGCCATTAATCGAATAGCCAAAGTGGAACGTGGCTACCGAGAGATGATGGAGCTCAAACATCGTGCAGAGGCTGCTGATATAGCAAAATCTCAGGTTCATTTTGGATGAATCTCTTTGATTTAGTTATGCAGAGGATTTTGATCATTTATTGTCTTCGTTTGGATCTTTAATGCTTTTTCCATCTTTCTTTAACATATTATTCTCTCTGTAGTTCCTGGCGACAGTTTCACATGAAATCAGGACTCCAATGAATGGAGTTTTAGGTAATAATTGGATTTTAATTTCCACTCATTTGCCATAATGGGGGACCTGCAAGTGGGGGAGGTTCTATATTTTCTGCTGTTGTCATCAAACAATATTTACAATGCAATACAGGTATGCTACAGATGCTTATGGATACAAATCTGGATGCCAGACAACAGGACTATGCACAGACTGCTCATGCTAGTGGAAAAGATCTGATATCATTAATCAACAAGGTTTTGGATCAGGCCAAGATTGAATCAGGCAGGCTTGAGTTAGAGTCTGTCCCTTTTGATCTGCGAGCTGTTCTTGACAAGGTCCTCTCACTTTATTCTGGGAAATCTCAGGAACAGGGATTAGAGGTATAAAGTCAAATTCCTTACACCTCTCCTCTTTTTTCCTGTTTTCAGCTGCCGTCTTCATAATTATGGCTTTACCGGACATTTCTTGCTTCTTTGTTTTTTGTTCTTTTGGGGGAGAGAAGTTGGCTGTTTATGTATCTGATCAGGTACCAGAAGTGGTCATTGGAGATCAGGAACGGTTTGGGCAGATAATTACTAATCTTGTTGGGAATTCAATAAAGGTTAGTTTAGAACCCGACCTTTTGTTTATTAAGTTTTTTGCCAATTGCTTTGGCTTTTTAAGAAGTTCATGGGCCGAAAAGGCATATACCAAAGTGTCACTGCTTGCAATTTTGTTTATAAAAGAGGCCAAATATACTAAAGTTAGACTCTCTCTCTCTCTCTCTCTCCCCGAGATCGATCTGTAGAATTTCATATGAGTGAAAGAAAGAAAAGTCATTGGCATAAATGGGTCCTCGACAACAGTATGGAACAGTGTGGTTCTTCTTCCTATAAAATTATTTTTGTTTACAGTAACAAGTTTTTATGGTTTGTACCATAGGTTATAATCCTTCATTCTGGTTTCAAATAAGAGATGGGCCAAATTTACCTAATGGCTCTCTTCTCGATGGGAGCACTTGCTTCCCTGAAATCTGTCCTCTATCTTAACTCCTTTACAGCAAGAATAACGATTTACCCCTTCCAGTGTGAAATTTTTTCTCATGTTTATTTATTTTCCCTTTTCAGCTAAGTTCTTATAATCTAAAAAAAAAAAAAAATCACGAGAATGAAAGAAAAAGCATAAAAAGGTGTCATGCATCAATGTGGTGCCACTTTCTTTAGTTGTGCTTATTGTTCACCGTGGTACATAATGAGGTGTTTTCTATGCTTTTCTTCTTACTTTTATAACAGTAGTTCTCCAGGCGAAGGCGATGGCCTCGCTCCTGCACCCTCACCCTCACCCTTTTTAATAGTGTGTGATTACTTTGTGTCGTCCGTGGACAATTGATGCTGTTTCGCGCGAGTTAGCTCGCTAACAATTAAAAGAGATCATACGATTGTGTAAGGGACAAACCTCTTGGAACAAAGTCCCAAAAAGGGGTGTTTATTGAATATGAAGATTACAGTTTGGACACGAACAAGATGCCTCCAAGGGGTGCAAGCACACAAGTACAAGGGAATTGAAGTAATTAAAAGTTAATCTAAGAAAAGTAAATTACATGTTCTCTGTTTGAGAGTGAATTTTGTCGGGGTTCTCTTCGCTGTCTTTCTCTTTCTTTTATATGGTTTGGGCAGTTTTGATCGTTTAGAAACTGCTTGTAACTACCCATTTCTTTTATTATGGTCGGCTGGCCAATAACTACCGTGTGCAACTCCTATCACCACGTCCTCTTCATAATTGTTTGCCATCAACTCTCTCAAATCGTGGGGCGTAATTGTGATGTGCTCAAACTGCCTTAGATCGTGACTTTGGATAACAACATGCTTTAGTCATTGCTGGGACTCTGGGCGACTCAGCATTTTTGGGCGACAATTGATCTTCCGCTCTGGGCGATTATAGGATGTTTCATTCGCTCAATATTTGGGCGTTCTGCAGGCTTGGGCGACGACGTACCTTTGTTTTTGGGCTTTCATCACATTTAATGACATTTCTGGTTGGGCTTTTACCCTGATCTCTCTAGATAGGCTCCTTCTCTTGAGCCATTTGAGTTGGGCTGAATATTTTGTGTGTCAACAGATGCACTGAAATGGTTGTTTGTGTGTGCATACATGTGTGCTTGCATATTTTCTAGGGATGTTTATGAAAACTCTGTTGTTCGTATGTAGGCACATGACTACTTGTACAACATAAGACAGGGCATAAATTTGTCATATGGTGGCTATATTTTGACATTTTTATGTGGTTTCAGATGTTGGGAAGGGGGGGAGGGTTTTGGCAATATATTATCTCTAGGAAGAAGTATCAATATGGAAGTGTACGGAGTACTTGTTTGCATTTAAGCAGGGTGAATGTGGATATGAAGAAGGATTAGCACCTAATTGTCTGCCTCTGTGGTGTGAGTTTCAGCCGTTTGGCAATGGAGCATGGCAATTACTACTGCAAGATAAGTTATCATCTTAGAAGAGTGGGGGAAAGGGGGAAATGATAAAATTGTGTGTATTTTATCAGCAGTTCAGTCCATTATACCACACGACTCAAGTTAGACTTCATCACAAGTATATTAAGACTTTTGTAATGATTTAGTTGTATCTCAAAAATTTGGGAGAAAATTCTTGTTGACAAGCGGATAGGTTTAGTTGGTATTAGGTCCCAATTGTAATGTACATCCTTGAAAGCTCTGGGACTCTTTATGATTAATTCCAAAGCTCTTTCAGCATGGATATTTTACTTGTTTTCTGGAAGATAAATTATCATCTTGTTGGTTTTTAATCAATATTCTGTTTATATGCAGTTCACCCAAGACAAGGGGCACATATTTATCTCTGTACATTTGGCAAATGAGGTGATGCTTCCACTTGACGCGAGGGATGAAGTTCTAAAACAAAGCTTAACCATTGTTCAAGTTGGATCAAATGCTTCTTATAATACATTGAGTGGGTTTCGGGCAGTTGATAGATGGAGAAGTTGGAAAAACTTTAAAAATTTCAGTGGCATACCAGAGGAAACTGAAAAAATCAAATTGTTAGTGACCGTTGAAGATACTGGTGCAGGAATACCTCTGGAAGCACAAGGCCGGATTTTTATGCCTTTTATGCAGGCTGACAGTTCAACATCACGAAAGTATGGTGGAACAGGCATAGGACTGAGCATCAGCAAGCGTTTGGTGGAGCTCATGGATGGAGAAATCGGTTTTGTGAGCGAACTTGACATTGGCAGTACCTTCTCATTTACTGTGACATTCACAAAAGCAGAAGCCAATTATTTGGAAACAATGCGGCTGCAATGTGATCCGGCTGTTCCAGAATTTCGAGGACTAAAAGCGTTGGTCATTGATGAAAGAAGAGTAAGAGCAGAGGTCACAAGATACCATCTTAAGAGACTGGGAATATCTGTGGACATAACTTTCAGCATGGAATCTGCATACTCTTATCTTTCCTGCTATTCCAAGACAAGGTAAACTCATTTCCATAATATGCAATGTAGGATGCTAAAAACAATAAATTAAACTATACCATCCCATGTTCCTAATAAAGCCTTTTAGGATATATTCATGTATAACCCTTGCCGCATCCTGCCCGTTTGGATTTATTTACATAAATTCAGAAGATTTTTAACCACATCCTGTTACTACCTCTTAATCAAGAAAACAATGATGAAGTCAATGATATGATTATTATTTTTTATATAAGAAATATGGAAATTAAATAAGTTGCTTTTCCTTGCTAACGACTAGAAATATACAGAGCCTTAAGAGGCAGAGATGCCAAAGTTGTCTTTTAGTTTATATTATTGTCTCTGCTACACTAATTATGTTCAACTCTTTTAATGATAAGGCTGCACTTCAGTAATATGAGTGCCATAATTCTTACAAATTCCAGAAAGAAAAACATAGCTTTATGGCATGCTTAAATTGTAGAAGAGTTGGAACCATGGAATTATGCTTTGACCTTGTTTTTGCTAATTGCTCTTAGTTATTCTGTCTACAGTGTGTTGGAGAATTTAGCTATGGTTCTCGTTGACCAAGACTGTTGGGATAAAGATATTTGCTTTTTGCTCCATAACCTGCTAAAGACAATCAAACAAAATGGCTCCAAAAATAATTCAGGGATCCCTCTGAAAATATTCTTGTTAGCAACCTGCACAAGCTCTTCACAAAGGAAAGAGCTGAAATTGGACAGGATAGTGGATAATGTGATAAAAAAGCCTTTAAGGTTAAGTGCGTTGGCATTCGCCTTCCAAGAAGCTACTGGATTTGGAAAGACAGGGCATAATACAAGGGCTAAACCATCAACGCTGAGAACTCTACTCAGAGATAAACAAATTCTGGTGGTGGATGATAATGCTGTGAACAGAAGAGTGGCAGAAGGTGCTCTGAAAAAGTATGGAGCATTTGTTACCTGTGTGGAGGGGGGAAAGGTAGCTGTTGGGTTGCTTAAGCCTCCCCACAAGTTTGATGCTTGTTTTATGGATCTCCAAATGCCTGGAATGGATGGGTAATAAGCTTTCCTGTTTCTTAGCCATCATGTATCCTAATGATACGTAATTTAAATGTTGCGCAATATACTCGTGAGCCCAAGGATTATTTTGAAACTTAAATTTGTAGATAGTTACACATCTTGTCTGGGTCTTAGGTTTAGACACCTGGCATGCGCTAATATTTTGAAGCACTTTTAGTACAGATGCCAGAATTGTAGAAATGTCCTTAGACAGTGCTTTGTTATTGTCTAGTGCTTCATTTGTAAACCAGTTTGGAATTTGATCTTGGGCATAGGATGATTGTGCTCTTGAATCTGTATGCTTCTACTTATTTCCTAACCAAACTGGATACGGAATTGTTCCTATTGATCTCATCTTTTAGGAATTTTTTTTTTTTTTAATATAATTGATCTATGTCGTGCAGGTATGAAGCTACTCGAGAGATCCGCAGTCTTGAGAGTGAATATAATGAAAAAATTAAATCTGGTGAAGTATCAGTTGATATGTCTGAAAATTTGGCTCATTGGCACACACCTATATTAGCTATGACAGCAGATGTGATTCAAGCAACAAATGAAGAATGCATTAAGTGTGGAATGGATGATTATGTATCTAAACCATTTGATGAGGGGCAGCTTTATTCAGCTGTTGCACGTTTCTTTTGGAGTGAATGATTTAGATATGCTGATTTGGCTTATGTTTCATGTTAATTGCTCGCCGATTAATGGCCTAGTCAGGCTGCCACCAGGGACTTCCCTCTCTGCTACCCGACTCTGCCATGACTTTGTAAGAATCGAATCCTTTCTCATTTCACATGGTAACTTTTCCACTCTTGCTTTGAGGCTTTGAAATTTCTTGTTTGTCATGCGTTCTTAGAGTGCTTTTCGCTCTCTGATTGAATATCCAGTGTGCCTTTTCTAACAACATTCTGATGGAGTTTCTATATATATATTTTAATTAAAACCACATGTAGTGGCATATTTTGTTAATAACCTAAGTAAAAGAGTACAAAGTACAAACTTAGGAGGGGGTGAGGCCTAACCTCCGGATAAAGAGAGAAAAAGTAACACTTCCCTACCCAAAGACTACTAGAGGACTAAAAGACAAAGTAAAATTTATATCTCGTGTGACTTCATCCTAGCCTGGGATTTCACGTGTCTTGTGATATACTTGAGTCTTTGTCTGTATCAAATTAAGTTTGATCTACTTAATCAACAACACTGAAAATGTTTTGGTCATGGTTTTCTCTGTTTTGTTTCCTTGAATATTTAGCAAATATGTGATTACAAAGTATGATATGTGACATAGTGGTTAATCGAACTTATCATCATGTCGTTTGTGCAACTAGCTTTAAAATAATAAATGTAGAACTGGTTTCTGAAATTTATGACTGCCTATATATCATTTCCTTGAGAAATCTTTGAGTTATATATATAAATGAAGCTTTAATCTTGCAGAGGGTAAGAACTTTTAAGATTAACTAGCTCCATATGAAATGATATACTCACCACATAGTTAAGCAATACGAGACGGAGTAGAGATAGGTGGAAAAGTAGCTATGTTGCAAAAATGCTGAAATTAGAATTCTCTTCTTCCTAAATGAAAAACTTGCGTTTCTTGCTTCAAAAGGTCACATATAATACACCAGTCAATGAAGTCATCTTCTGTACTATTAATATATATTGAAAATCCCCGTTCTACCACAGTTATGGATGCAGTGGTGATTATAATTTATATTTCCAGGAATGGAGGCTGACTACCATGATAGATTTAACATAATGCATGGGGCACTTTAGGAGTGCATCGAGGGATGATATGACCAATTCTGTGACAATAAAACAAGAGGACTATCTGCCAACTTCATATGGTCTATCCCTGGTTTCAGGTCATATTTATTTTACAGCATTGCTTCGTGGAAGAAGCACGTAAGAACATAAATACAATGATCTGGGCTCTACACATGTGAGATGAATAATTAGCTTTCATCTTCTTGAGGTTAAGTTGGAAATTTGTTCTTCAGCACCATATAGTGCCGGTTTCAAGGTTCATGTTGTAAAATGTAGGTGATACTGACAGAAAAAATACTGATCCATGTTCATATGGAAAAAGAAATGTTACAATCTCTAGTATTGGTCTTTGTAGGGTGTCAGCTATATTACTACTTTCTTAGCATTGCCTGTTGCAAGGTTTTTGTTTTTAGTAATTATTTCTAGCCAAGATTCTGTATACAAATTCATAACCCATTTTGGAAATATAAATGAGATTTTAATTCTTTATCTGATTTGTATTCTTTCAAATAATATACCTTCTTGAGCCGCTATTTTTCAAGTAACTGTTATAACTTCTAACGAGGAACCATATCATACTGTGGGAATGATTAAGTTGAAGCGATGCCGGCTAAATATGGAGATCCAATCGATGGCACCAGCCTCAAAATACTGTCTCTGTGGATGTTAAATTCTGTGATTCAGTCCTTTTTTGGGGATGTGTCATTCGTTCCTATTCAGAGAGAGATCAGCAGTAAGAAGAGGAACAAGTGTGCTTTGAAGAGAAGTTATGGATAACGGGTAAGGGGGAAACTGAGGGCACGAGTCCAAAATTGAAGTTGGGAGTGATAGATCTCGTAGACTGTTCCAAAAATGTTATACATGGAGAAAGGAAGGTGCTACTGTCCGCCCTATGCCAGACTCCGATGATGCTATCAGGCTCTCTTTGAATACTCACTCTAACAATACTACCATGCTACGGGATGACTCTTCCATGATTGATATTGAGGTACTTATTTCTCCACGTTTCGTTAGCTCCTACTTCTAATACTAGCCCTGCAACTTCAGAAACTGTTATCTTGAATCATAGTAAGAGATACCCCCTTCGTGATCATAAAAAACCCGATAGGTTGGGATTCTCCTGCAACTTCAAAAACTGTTATCTTGAATCATAGTAAGAGATACCCCATTCGTATCATAAAAAAACCCAATATGTTTGGATTCTCAAAATTCTCATCTATTGATGTCTATTGTTGAAATCATGAGATAGTTGACCAAGTTTAGAATAGTTGTTAATTTCCTTTATTATAATATTTAGAATAATCTTTGATTATTATAATATTTAGCTATAAACAATTTCCAAACTGATTCACAAGGAAAACTGGCGAAGAATTATAAAAGAAAAAGAAGACGTAGAAGGAAAAAGTCCCGAATCAATCACTCTTAAACAGAGAATATGTAATTTTACTTCTTTTAATTCTTATCGTCAACTTTCAAATTACTTTGTGTGCTTGTACCTATTGGAGGCGTTCTGTTTCTTTTTCATTGTAATCTTCATAAATAAAGCACCCCTCGTTGGGACTTTGTCTCAAAAGGTTTGTTCCTTACACAATCATCTGAATCATCTTTTAATTGTTAGCGATGCTCGATAATCCGCGCGAAACAATAAGTAAGGATGTGTATTATTCATAATGTATTTACAAAAAAAAATAAAGTTTTTCTCTTCATGGTATCAGAGCCCAAGTGTGTTCCTAACCTAGGAGAGTCATGATAGAAGCCACCGCCAACAGCAGAGGCTCCACAACATCTGACTCTTTTAACGACGAATCTGAAATTATGTCTGCCATAGGTTCAGGAGACAATTCTTCATTCCAATTAACGGTTGAAAAACTAAATGGGAAGAATTATCGAGAATGAGTGCAGCCTGTCAAGCTAATTATTGATGGAAAAGAGAAATTAGGTTACCTCACTGGACAAATTGCAAAGCCGGCCTCAACCAACCCCGTCCTTCTTAAAAAATGGAGGTGGGAGAATTCATGAAACCCACGATTGGAAAAACCTACTTGTTCCTACCGTCGGCAAAAGATGTGTAGGATGCTGTCAAAGAGACTTATTTAGACTCTGAGAATTCAGCCCAAATTTTCGAACTTAAGACAAAACTTTGGCAAATTGAGCAGGGCGATCGAGAGGTCACTGAATACTACTTGGAGATGACAGCTTTGTGGTAAGAACTCGATTTGAGTACTGAAGAACAGTGGGATTGCACGGGTGACAGTGCTCGGTTCAAGAAAAGATTGGAAAATGAGAGGGTGTTTTGAGTTTTTGGCAGGGGTAAATCGTGACCTAGATGATGTTAGGGGACAGATTCTTGGCAGGAAACCCTTCCTTCATCCAATTAACCTCTAACACTCTCGAATCTTCATCACAAGTTTAGAGTATTTGCATTTTAGTCCCTGAGCTTTCACTTTCTTCCATTTTGGTCCTTTTTTGCTCTTTTCTTCAATTTTCCACAGTTTTCACCAATTTGTAACTGCTTCATGATAAGGTTAGAAAAAAGTTTAGAGTATTTGCCCCTTTGTCCCTAAGCTTTCACTTTCTTCGCTCTTTTTTTCCATTTTCCACCGTTTTCACCCATTTGCAACCTAAACCAAGATATAGAAGTACTTAGTGCATTTAGGCGTCAAATGATCATAGAAACACAAATATTAATGGGTGAAAAACGTAACCAATGTGCTATTATCACCTATCAAGTGTGATTATTTAGATTGATGCTCTAGCTAAATCGTATTATTCTTTAGTTTTTCTCTTGTATTTACATGACTTTGAGCTTGGAGTGGGGATAAACTTTATAATAGGGAAAATTACCTTCAACCCTGCAATTAAAGATTTGTTTTCATAAACAAGGGGGGTTGAGTTTAAAATTCAAATTTCAGGTGATAAATAAAATTATTGTAATTAATAAATTTAATTAAATCTAACAATTTCATTTTTGAACCTTATCATTTTCCCAATCCCTTTCTCTCTCTGTCGCCTAGCCACCTTTCCCACCTTTCAACCTTTTCTCTTCCACCGATCCCTTCGACGACAAACCTCATTCCTCCACCACTCTTCCTTCTCTCTTTACCTACCCACCCGCCTCACCCGTCACCCATCTCCAGCATCACCGATCGCGTGATGCTTCTCGTTAAGTCGGTGTGTGGCAGCGCTCACCGTTACTTGCAGCACCAGCAACGACGAGAAGCTTCGCCGCTACCGGCGTTGCTGCAAGCTAGGTTGATTTTTTTAATTTCACGAAGATGTTCCGATCTTCTTGAGATCGATGTTGTTCCGATCTTTGATGATCATCATACCGATCGGTTTGGAGGTAGTGCCAATCGACAAAGGCATCGTCGAATTTCATTCTTCTCTTGTTCCATTTCGCGTTCTGCTTTGCATATAGGCAGAGAAATGGTTCAACTATGATTCCATTCCCTTTTCTGCTTTGCAAATACGGGGAGAAATTGTTTTAGTTTTTAACGCCCGATTTTTGTAAAAAATTCTTAATCACCTAATTTTTCAAGAAACAGCAACACCCAATCATTGTATGTGCAAGTAGATGGACGCTACTTCTTGGTAGTAGTGTGTACAGTGGGAGGTTATGGTAAGGTGGTGTTATTGATGTGATGTGTATTGTGTGCAGTGGATGGTTGTGGATCTGTCGAGGATGGTTTGTAATGTGGATGGTTGTGGGTATGTTGTTTATCAATTTTGTCTGTTTCAACATAATTTCATTTTCAAGCAAGTACAAAGAACATGGTTCTGCTTAACTGGTTCTTCGGGAGTGATTATTAGAAAGCTTTCAAGATAGTTGAGAAACTCAGAAAGGGAAAAAGTTGGCAATATAAAGAAATGTGAAATTAAAGGAATTTGTTAAGTGATTTCGAGGTGGAATTGTATGTACAAAAATTAATGGAATTTGTTAACTGTGATCGATTGTGACTGGTTGTGATCAATTCTATGTTAATTGTGGCCGATTATGACTTGTTGTGACCAATTTTGTGTTAATTGTGACTGGTTGTGACTTGATCACATACATCATAATTAAGATTGACTTGGTCATAGACAGTCACACTGAATACAAATTTGGTCACAATTAGCCACTAATGACACGTGACTTGATATTTTTAATTTTTGAATTTTTTTGCAAGGTAAGGGTGGGGTAGGTGGATCCATGGATTGGGGTTGTGATTTTCAGTTTTTAATTTCTAGAAATTTTTCGGAAGGTAAGGTGGGGTGGGGATAATTAATTATATATTATATATATTTAATTGGAATTAACACTTGAATTTTGAAATAATTTAACAATTTTGTTAATTTTGAAATGTGATTTTAATATATAGGATTTATGTATTGATCCCTTTATAATATTGTGGGTAATCTTAAATTTTGTTTTAATTATTTAGATAACGACATAATTTTCGAAGTTGTTATTTTATCTGACTAAAAAAATATATTAAGATAATTTTTTTTTCAAAATTATGAAAGATGAAAAAAAAAACTCAATTATTAATTTTAAGTTATTATCTTCAATTTTATTTTCTTAATTGCTTTTCCGTCGATAATATTTACTTATTTTTGTTACTTCTTAGAATAAAAAAATTTCATCATTAATTTGGAATGAAATTTCTTAAAATTTGAGTGTCTTGGCCTTGAGTTGAGTCGTCTTTGAGTTAAATCAAATTTGAAAGGGCTAGTTAGATAAAAAAGTTCTAAAAGACTTAAAACGTCAACATAGATGTCAATCCTCAAACCTTAAAAACTTAGGTGTGTCTAGGCGAAGCCTATGCATAATAAAGTATTTTTATTTTTAATATTAGTTTAATTTTTTTAGACAAATAAATTAATAAAATAAGGCAAACCTCGAAAATTTCGAGGAACTTCATCCATATTTTTCAAGTTTTCAACAAAAATATAATTCTCAAAATTCCTTGACAAAAAAGGTATGCCGGGTGAATTCAGATTGAATTAAATTTCTTTACCAGAAAGAAATTAACACCATTGTTGACATATATTTACATGGAAGTGGGGGCCCATATGGGATTTATGTGAATAAAAAAGGCCAAAAAATCATCCAATCCTCCTATTGTGAGTATGCTATCAGGAAGGGTGTCAAACCATCCCCCAGCATAGCAGAATTGATTTAATGTTAGGGTGATTTTTTGTTGGACTTTTTCCTTTTTAAGTTTTAGCAATGATTGGGTATTTTGTTAAGATAGACTTCAAAACAAGAAAGTATCACTTACAGAAAAAAGAAATACATGCTTTTTTTGAATAGGTGCGCTTTTCTTGCTTGGATGCGATACGAGGCATTTTCTTCAAGCTCCAAGCCTCGGCGGACCTTTTGGAATACTTATTTAAATTGATCTACCAAAAAGCAAAGAAACTTATTTATTGGGGCTTGCCATTTCATTTGACAAGTTATTTACGTTAAAATATTATAAATTGTATATAACTTGTGTCTCTGTTACAATGTAGAAGATCTTATTTATAGAATTACTAATAACTCTAAAAGAAAAAATTGTGTGATATTATACAATCAACTATTAAAAAATAATCCTACAAATTTGAGAAAATATCATATATAATAATCTATATAATATTTGTGTATCTTCAACACATGTTTGATCTCTTGCCCTCAATGGGTAGGATAAAAACTTTTTACTGCTGATGTGGTAAGTAAACTTTAATTATGCTTCTCTTACCACTGGGAGTAGGAGATCAATTCCAATCTTCAACATCCCCTTCATACTCAATTTAGTGTAATGACAACCTAATTAAGATTGTAAATTTAAATTGATTCAATCAAATCGTCATCTTCCAAGGATCAAAGGATACGTCCAAATTGTCAACCAAGTCAAACAAAGAACTCGAAACTAGTATGAAAGAAAAGTCATCACCTATTAATCGAACCAAATCATCATCAAAACTTAAAGGAGACACCCACAAATATAACGACCAAAGCCTCAAACAGTTTTAATAACCAGATTATTTGGAGAACAAAACAACGGCTAAAATCATCAGGAACCATATTTGCCAAATTTGGAACCTTGTGTGACTTGTGGATTTCCTAATCACCAGAGTTGAGTTTTTGATTTGAGAAACTTTACAGGTGGAGAAACAAGAAGGCCCATATACAGATATCTAAAACAAAAGAAAAAAGAAAAAACACTGAGGTAAAAAGAAGATGAATGAATGGCTAGACGAGGATATCTAAACTAAATAACAAAACTTGGCTGAACTAGCATAACTCAAAGAAATCAGAAAGGTAGCCGGCCTTCGAAAAACGATTTTGACTGCGAGTTTAACCCATGACAAGAAGCTCTGATACTGTTTTTGAATATTGTTAATTTTATATAACAAACTTGCGTTCTTGTTACAAAGTAAAATATCTTAAGTAACTATAGACGAAAGAATTATGTGATAATCATACATTCAACTATTAAGAAAAATAATTTGATACAATTGAATAGATATAATGAAGAATAATCTTTATAATCTTTCCATATTTTCAAAAAATCATAAACATCGAGGTTATGTGCAACAAAACTTAATCCCTAACATATCTCTCATGATCTTAAAATGTTGCATCACAATAGTATCGCACCTACATCTTTCTCCCCCTCTCCACATTTCTTTATCGTTCTTCCCTTTCCTTTTTCTTTTCGGTGGGCACTTTAGATCTTCACCAAATCGGTGTCATGGTTGTGTGGCCCTTTCTCTTCACCAAACTTGGTGGTTGCCATTAAATCATAATATACACTCACAATTCCTTAAATGAATTAGTGAGTTTCCTTTTTCTCTATTTCCCTAATTTTTATTTTCTTGTACAAAATATTTCTTTCTTTTGTTCTCGTACACATGGAATATTTCAACAATTCTCAAGATATTGAGGTTATAATATGGGACTCAGAATGGTTGTTAATGTAATTTAGCCAGCTGACTCAGCTCCCACCCGGTATATGCAAAAAGCGCAAACACAGAAACCACTGACAAGAAGTAGACAAACACAGCACTGGAGTGAATCTGAAACTCCCAAACTCAGAGGCGCAACATCCGGAGACCAAAAAACCACGGCAATCGTCGCAAAGATGCAATCTTTATCATCATTTTCAGTCCACCCCCTCCTCATTCTGTTACCCATTCTGAGTAAATTAATGATTTTTCCTCTCAACTTTTCATTTTGACAATGAAAATAAAAATTTGAAGTTTCTGGCACTTATGTTGTTAGTGTCGAACTGATTTCAGGTCTTTTGAAAATCTCTTCTTCCCAAGAAGGGTTTTGCTCTGCACCATCAATTTTGAGTGCTGACCGGCCCCTCTATTGGAAAGTCACAAACCCAACGCTCTCGCCCTCTCATCTTCAGGGTTAGTCCCTACCCTTTTTCCTTAAGAAAATGGATACAATTTTTTTTGGAATTTATAAGTGGACGAGTGTTTAATTACGGTGATTGGTTTGGTATCTGTTTGTAGAGAAAATAATATTATGCTAGGCTTTTCGGTACTCATTTTTTTCCAACAAAGATTTTTAGAGTTTTGCTGTATGTAGTTCTGGGTTTTAATTGTCAACAAGAAGATTAATATGGGGTTTCATGACTTATAGAAATCATATGGTATTCGCCAAAGCTGATTTTGGCTTCAATTCTTTTTAGACTTGCCCGGATTTACTCGCAGTGTGTACAAAAGGGACCATGCTTTGATAACTCCTGAAAGTCACGTTTTCAGCCCTTTACCGGATTGGTATGTTCAAATCTGTATTTTTGTTAACCTGGTGATAGTGCAAGCCCTTATTATTATTATTATTATTATTGGAGTTACAGGATTAACACAATGGGTGCTTATCTAATTACACCGGCAATGGGCTCGCATTTTGTTATGTTCTTGGCAAAGATGCAAGGTGAGGTTCAGAACTTTACTGACTTCTGTCACTTCAAATTCAATTTATTGTTTCAGGTGCTGTGTATTTGAGGCTTTGAGTTAATATTTTTGGGTTGATGATAACAAAGAAAGAGATTTAGTACAAGTATGCGAACAATACGTTTTGAAAGTTATATATCATGTTTCTGTTACACTTTTTCGTTGTTTTAAAAGTCCTTGTTCATTATTCTGCAGAAAACTCAAAATCGGGCTTGCCTCCGATTGATGTTGAAAGGTCTGGATTCTTTTACTTTCCACTTTAAGAAATTTAGACGAGTTCTGTTTTTAGTATTATAAAGATTTGCTTTGCATTTGATAAACGATTTGCTGTCTTTCTTGTGCTTGCACATTCAGATTTGTTTTTGTGCTTCAAGGTGCGGTGACTCTCATCGATGTGTCAGACATCAGTCACGAACTAGTGGTATAAGTGCTAACTTGTAATTCCATTCGTTTTGCTTTTCATGTTTTAGGGACAACTTAACCTTGTTTTGATCATGAATTTTGTTGAGTTAGGTGTAGAAATTATTTGATTGAACTGGTAATGAAATAAAAACTGGTCGACTACCATATAATAGTAACCTATATTTTTTGAGGTCTTTGTATCAAATGTCTTAGGAGCTGCTGTAATATAAATTCAAAATTTGTCATTAAAACTATGTTGATGTTCTGTAGGTAGAACAAACCTTGATCAGTGTATGGCATGACCTATATAACCACGAAAGAAGTTAATAATTATTTTCTGTAAATTTGCAGGTGGATTCATATGCTTATCTTCCTCCAAACTCAAAACATTCCTTGAACTCTGATGCATCTGCCACTCTTGTTGTATTTGAAAGAAGGTTTCTTCGCTTTGTCATTTCAATATATCTACCTTACCCCAGAATCCAGTCGCCGCATATTATCCACATTTAAATATTGCTTTTCACTATAAGCTCGGCATTGTTTGGCTCTGTGGTAATTTACTTCACTCTAATGGTGTTACTGTTACCGGGGATCAATTATCATCACAAAATACCAAAGACGAAATTAGTTTAAGACTTTGTCACTTGTTATCTTAGAGTTATGACTATACTTTTAGCTTTTTATGACATTATAATGGCATAATTCTCCTTATTCAGGCATGCCTATTTAGAAAATCATGTTGCCGAGCATATTGTTGGTTCAACAGATAAGCAGCCCCTTCTTGAAACTCCAGGCGAGGTGAACTTTATTATCTTTGAGTTTCATCAAGAGTTTTTACATCATCAAGAGTTTTTACATATCTATTTATAGATTTGGTTTTGATTTAAAGCATGTATGTATGGCTTTTGAATTTATAATGGAAAAACTTGTAGCCACATTATGGAATACTCCTTGTTATTAATGCTTACATCCCATCACTTTATTTTTCTTCTCTCCCCCCAGGTGTTTGAGCTTAGGAAGCTTCTTCCGACTTCTTTGCCTTACGATTTCAACATTCATGTAAGTTTTAACGTAATCCTGGTAATGAATGAATACCATAATTCTGTGGGTCCTATCTAAAACTACTGTCCTACTTTTCACCTAAAGTTTGTTATGTAGTACCAATAACTCAAAATATAACCAAGAATTACATGCAGACTGCGGTTCATTTATAATGAATGATTTAATGCAACAACTGTTAACTCTAAAGTTAAAGGACTTGAGTTCTTCTATTCTTATATTTCTAAATTTGCATTAATGTTGAGCTTACGTAGAATCGAAGTTGGAGAAAATGTCTTGAACAAAGCTTCCTCTTTCTTCTCCTTCTGCTAGTCCTTTTATATCTTGAATGTTAGATTCCCAAATACGGCTATTTATATTCATCAAATTTATCCATTTGACAGATCATGGACTTTCAGCCAGGTGAATTCCTCAATGTAAAGGTATGATGCTGATGTTGCTTTCTTGGTCAAGTCCTATGACATGATATTCCTTTCCTTTGGAGAATTGCTGCTTATAGTTTCTCTCCTTTTGTGGAATATTACTGAAACAAGGATTGCTTTGTTTGAAGCTCTGAAACGAAAATATCAAGTCAATAATTGTTTGATGTTCTGAAACAAAATATCAAGTCAATAATGTTTTGAAGATGTTATATTCTTGAACTTACTTTCACTAGTTTTATGTTATGTATGATATCATATATCAAATTCCTCCAATGCAATCATCAATTATCATCTGACATTGGACCTACTTAAGTTTGACAGTTTCATTTTCAAGCGAGTTCATATAAATGCATGGTGGATAGTTAGAAATTAGAAGTAAATATTGATTATTCCTTCTCCAGTATTATATTTATGGAAGTACCTATTATCTTGATTCTTAAAATTTTTAACCTCTGATTATCTTATATGCATTTGGCATGTTGACAGGAAGTCCACTATAACCAGCATGGATTATTGCTTTTGGAAGGGCAGGGTATATACCGCCTGGGTGATAGCTGGTAAGAATTGAATTGTGCTTCATAGACTTTAGAAATGTTCACAAAAGATGGGATTGTTTGTCAGAAAATTCTGCTTCTGATAGTTTTTAAATTCGAACAAGGGATTGCATACGCCCCTGTAGGGTGATAATGCACTAAAACCTCGTGGTAACCTCTTTAAGGATCCATTCACCAGAAATTGCTTTGGTTGCCCTTGCTTATAGAAATCTTTTTTTTTTTTAAACTGTAAAAGACACCCATGTTCCCCTCACCCGCACCCCAGCAAAAAGAAATAATGTAGGTCCGTCCTTACTAATGCAGTTTGATCTCTTAAAGAAGGCCCAAATTCTTATGTTTTCCATCATTATTTCAGTTAATTCATTTTCCTTAATTAGCTTAGAATACTGAGAATTGAGTTCACATCCTTAAGAGTATCACTCAAGATCACTGCCCCATGTATGTAAAAAAGAAACCTTGAGTTTATAAACAACGTGGAGTTATTTTGGGATAAAACAACTGTAAATGGCTGGTTCATGCCACATTGAGATGACGTATTTCATTTTGCTATTTCTGAGTATATATATATATATTTGCTTCATCCCCATTAATAGAACTATCAAGAACACTTCTCTGCTCATCGATATTAAATAAGTATATGCAAGTATAAAAGAAAATCCTACAAATTTTTTGTTTCTTGAAATTTTCCCACAAACTGAGAAGAATCTGCAACTTACATTTTCTCCTTAAAGATTTTCATCACCCCACTGGAAAGACATGTTAGATATGCTTCTCTAGTGAAAATAGTTTCATATTGGAAATTAAGATTAGAAAAATAAAGTCATCATCTTTATTGTCTAAGATCCATGTCCTGGAATATCATAAAAAATTACAGGTCTTCTGACTTGTTTACGCCTTTCGACTTATGGTATGCAAGATGTTTCTTGAACTTTTCCCACAAACTGAGAAGAATCTGCAATTTCTATCAAAGATTTCGTCGCCCCACTAGAAAGATGTGTTAGACATGCTTAGAGAATATTTTCATACTAGAAATTACGATAAGAAATTAGTCTTATCAAGATCCGTGTCCTGGAATATCATCAAAGATGATAGGTCTCCTAACTCTTTTACGTGTTTCTGCTTATGGTAGGCGAGGTTATTTATTAATCAATCTAAAAAATTTAAAATACTCTTCCACAATTGAAAATTCATTTTCTCTTGACTAGTATATATTTTTGATTGTGGAATAGGTATCCAGTGCAAGCTGGGGATACTATTTGGATGGCACCATTTGTGCCTCAGTGGTAAGTAAAAGGGTTTAGGCGATCTTTTTCTCTTTATATTGATGTCATGACAGTGACTCAATTTACTGAACTTTTTTCAGGTATGCTGCTCTTGGCAAGACGAAATCACGCTATTTGCTGTATAAAGATGTGAACAGAAATCCATTGTAACTACAATTTGACAAGTCTTCAGTCATGTTAATCCATTTTGAAGTATGTTAACTAAATTTGATACTGGTTTATTTATCTTAACACGCTGAGTTGTTATAGCACAAGATTCTAATGAATGGAAAGAAATGATTTCAAAATGTGTTAGTTTAATGTAAAATGAATACTCTTAACTTGAATGTACTCACGAGTCACGAGAACCTATTCGATGTTGAGTTGGTTGACAAACTTTTCAATATCCTTAGTGAGCATCGTACTATCCTCATGGTTGCATTGGTGCGATGTACATGTCTAACACACTTGTGAAAGGTTTTTGGATTTCTGGTATGCATCGTCTTCCTCTTAATTGTAGAAAACATTTTTGTGTAGTCGAATACTGAGCTGGCCAAGATATCTCGGATTAGACTAAGCCTGATCTTTCTACTCGTTGCACCAAAAATGTGGCCATTTAATATGGTAGCATTGGAGCCACCAACTTTACCCTATGAGAGTGCCAGTAGAATCATTCATAGAAATATGTGTCTTGATCGAAATTTCCAGGCCGCGGAGTTCTCAGTACGTCTGCACTTCGTAGATAAATTTCCAATGAACTCTCGGATATACCTGCTGCTAATTGTGCAATTTTCGCTAGTAGCAATCCTACATGGTACACCGTCTTCCTGTCCCTTTAGTATGCTCGTCGAAATAATGCTGACCGCGTCTTCCATTAGGACAAAAGTGAAAGCATCTTAAAAGTTAATTTCTCAGAACACTTATCCCTTGTGAAATAGCTCCAAGAACTGCTTCCGCAGATATTTACTACCCAATTCATGAATATTAGTAACCGTTCTCATCCTTTTGCTGCTCTCCCAGGACAATTCCATTCAAGCACAGTGGAAATAGTTGAGGGAATTCCTTGGGTACTAACATCTTCCAATTTTCATTGAATTCCAGCCACTTCGGTTTCACTTGATGATCAGAGAAATAAATGCGCGATAGAATTAATTTTACAATGATGTTAGATATGTATTTGGCGATCTATCATCCAACATTTGCTGTTTAGAAGTCTGTTAACTTATGGAAGTACGGGTACCCTTCAAGTTCACCTTCTTTCGCGAATTTTTGAGAACAAGTGCAGAATATCCCGAGTTTGAAATTTCCAAAATTTCATTAAAATTCTTTTCCAGGAAGAATTATTTTCTTGTTTTTATTTTATTTTATTTTATTTATTTATTGTAAATAAAGCTTTCAGTTTAGGGATGGCAATTCGAACTGTTAAAACCGAAAATCGCGGTTAACCGAACCGAATGGGGAAAAAAAACCGAACCGATGGTGCGGGCGGTTATGATTTTGATTTTAATGAACCGCTTCATTTAGGGGCGGGTATGGTATTTAGCGATGGTGCACCGCCCCGAACCGATTACCGGTTAAAAAAAATTTAATTGCAATTTCCATCATTCTTGCCCAAAATAATTGGGTAATTTTGACAATTGGACTTCCCAAAATTCTAGCTCAATTAACATTAAGTAAACCAATAATGAATAACCTAACACCATTTATAGTTTTTAATCCAGTCCACTGCTGAGATAATCCAATTTAAATATACAACCTACACGTTAAAAGTTAAAACAATGCCATGTGACTCCTGTCGTAACCCTACAGTCTCCACTTCTCTTTCACTCAAATCCGTCGCCGCTCTGCCTCAACTCGCCCTCACCATCATAGCTCGCCATTGAGAAGACGATTAAGAATTGACGGTCTATCTTTCCTCAACTGCTTCTTGCTGCACTTAGATAACATGAGATATTTCTTCTTTCTATAGCGATAGGTTTGAGAAGCGACAAGGAAAATCTCGCCCTCTTTCTCGAAGAAAGATCCTTACATCCCTCATAAGGAAAATCATGCCCTCGTTCCCGTAATGTCGATTTCTTCCTCCCTAATTTCGGGGTGATTATGAGTATTCTTGATGATTCGGATATTTAGTTTTTGGAATTGTACATATTTGAGATCTTGGAATTTGTTTAATTTAGCAGTATTTCTATTGAATCTGCAATGGTTAATGAAGAAGAATCTATGAAGTTTGGTTTTCAATTAACATTGGTAGTTTAATGATTAGTTTTGGTTTTTTCTCCAGTTACCCAAATTCCGATCAATTTTGAGTTTTCATGATGTATTCGAGCTTTATTTTTCACAATTTATCATGTTCAAAATCTTGGGATACGTTTGATTTAGTAATCTTTCAATTGAATCTGTAATGGGCATTACATAAAAATTGATAAAGATTTGTTTATGAATAACATTGATAGCCTTATGATTAGTTTTGATTTCTCTCCAGTTTCTCCAATTTCAGATCGATTTAAATCTTAAAGGTGATTCGGGTGTCTGGTTTTCTTTTTTTAATGGAACATGTTTGAGATCTTGGAATTTATTTGATTAAGCATGCTTTCTGTTGAAGTTGAACATGTGATGTGCCTTGAAAAATGACCTATTAAGATTTGTTTTTCAACCAGATTGAATATATCCATGTTGATTTTGTCTTTCTTTTATATTTTTTAATGGCCAAGATTACATGAAATCATAAATTCTCCAGCCTTCTGCTGCTTTCAGGATCAAACTATTGGCTCTAAATATGTTCGATTGATGTGTTTTATTTTTTAGAGGTCTTGACATTTTTTTTATTTTTATTGACTTTTCTTCATATATTTTTTTTTTCAATTTGACGGTTGGAGTTTGAATTTATAAAAAATAATTTATTTTCGTGGTTATTAACCGAACCGAACCGAACCGAACCGAGATATTAACCGAGCCGAACCGAACCGACTTTCGTGGTTATGGTGCAGTTATGGTATGACCAAAAATTTGGTGGTGCGGTTATGATTTTGGCCGAACAGACCCCAAACCGAACCGCTGTCATCCCTATTTCAGTTGAAGGCAGGCTTGCTCAAGAAAGGAAAACTTTTAGTTCGTAAAAGTTTATTGACCTCTGTTATTATCCCGGAAATAAATCAAATGTATCCTATTAGAAGTTAATAGATAAGGTGATACACTATCAGAATCTAAGAAAGCTCAACAATCTTTAGACGTTTTCTAGATTTCTGATTCCTAGATGCTTTGCTTGAATCCTTTTCAGCAACCCTGGAACTAAATTTTGCAGAATGTTTGCCAGCTTCTTCTTCTTCTTCTACGTCGTCGTCGTCCTCATCATCACTACTATCTTCAGATTCTGACCCGCTACTACTATCAGCAGCCAAGGGAATTATTGGTTGATAACCAGCTATTGCAGACTCTGCAGCAGCAACAGCTTCCGGGGTATGAAGATCAGCGACACCCAGCATCAAGTCCTGAGAACATAGGCATCGAATAATTAGTTGTAAAATTTATTGTTGAAACTTGCTCCACCACCACCATGAACAAATAAAACAAGACAATATTTACCATTTCAATGTATTCAGATTCTCTTCCACTCATGACTTCAATGTCATAATTTTCAGGATTGTCCTGTATTTTGTCAAGAGAAGAGCAAAAACTTAGTGCAAACAGATAATAATCAGATGAAAACTATAAAAGTTCTGTACTTCTATCAGTACTAATTATACCTTGGCTTCTTGAATCAGATTTCTATTTGACTCTGATATAACGCCTAGGAAATCCTTCACTTTCCCTAAAACTGCAATGTGACAAAGACCCAATATCATTTTGTTTATGTACTAGAGTTTCTCGGACTCCATATCTGGAGAAGTAGAGTTTTTTCTCCAACATTGAATTTTTTTTGGTTAGGCACTTAGCCAATCATCTAATAGTATCCCCAATACAAGGTATCTGTTTGGCATCCCATTGGGTAATCTTAGGTGTATTACAGTACATGAAAGAGTGCAATTATTGAACACTTTTTTCAGTCATAATTTATGAAACACCCTAATTTTATCTAAGAAACTTCAGATTTTCGAGAAGCCCCCATTGGTTTAGGGCAGGTTCTGAAAAGAACACCACTAAGGTCACTCATGATGAATGGACACTCACAATTTGATTGCAAAACAGACACAATCTCAAAGTAACCATTTATCCTGAGCAACACTAGCATTTATCTTTCTAAATTTAGAGAGGTGACGACCCACAGAGTCTTTAGGGAAGAAAAATGTTCCTGACAAATAAGAGCATGAGCATGTGATCAAGTTAAGATTTTTATCCTAAAACCAACAGAAGATAATTCTGAACATAATAAGATAATGCTAGAAGCATAATATTTTTCAAGAAGTAAATAATGAATTGGTGCCAGTGCTTCAAAAGGTCAAACGTGGTATTGTGGCAAAATGCATACATGGGAGGTGTAAGCTCAAGTCACTTCAAAGTGTATGCCTCAACGTATACCAATAAAATACTAAAAACATCAGACACAGTAGTAAACCCACAAGAGACCATGAATCATCTAAGAAATGAAGGGCACGTGTAGGTTCTTCATTTCTTCTCTCTAATTCAAATTTTTTTCTTTTAGTTTCTTGGGTTGCCTTAAAAACATAAAACTATGAACAAACCCAAAATGTAGAGAACTTAAAAGATCCCATTAAAGGGGCATAACTAAAGAATGCTGAATGCATGCCTTTTCGCCTTGGCTAATGCCCTTACTCGGGTGAATTTCAATATATGCCCTTCCAACCTTTTTATTGATATCAAAGAGTAGGTAGAAGGATATTAGTGTTGTGCCTCAAATTTCTACAAACCCAAGAGTTATCAAAAGTCATTTGAAAAAACAACCTAATGTTTAAAAAGATTAGTTTTACTTAATCCAAGAATACTTAAAATAATATACTTATAAAGGAAAATTAATGACTTCCCAAGACAATTAAACATATCTCTTAAATTATCAGAAATAAAATATATGGAATCCATGCTACAAAACAGACTTCTCAACATTAACAAAGATCAATGACTCGTACATTGGACCCATGGAAATTCATTAGTCAGCTAACTTTTCATGCAAGAACAGATTGAATTTAAGGGACGATTATCCCCTTTATACGTAGCCAAAACTAAGATAGATAAACAGTTGTTCTTTGCCACTAATGTTCAGTAAATCAGCTCAATAACTGCGCAGAAACATTATATCCGGAAAAAGATTTTGCATCCCAATTTCATCCTTGCAGAGGAAAGTGCAGGCACTTAGGTATAGTTACTTTGCAAGCACTAAATTCTCAGTTGCAAACAATGTTTCAGTTAATACACCAAAAGTAACATGGCTCTCGAATCTGCTAATCCAAAAACATATAATTTAACTATAAATCTTTTCAAATGTCAAAATCACCGAAATCCATTACCATAAAGAGGAAAGCAAATATAAAACAAAGCAGCGTTATCATTACCGTGGCTCTTGGGAACAGGGCTAATGGTGGGCTTCTGCTCAGGTGGGTTTAGTTTTACAGTTCCAGGCTGCAAAAATACATCATCTTTGCCGTAAAATTGAAGTTTTGACTCTGTAAAAAAGAATATCAATTCATCAAAAACAACAGGGAAAAAAAAACGAACTGAAAGTTGTCCAGTAGATAGATAAAAGAAACCTAAACTTGACGTTGAAGAGTTAGTGGTGTTATTATTGGCCTCCAAGTCTAAAAGAACTTTGCTATTGGAACCCATCATACAAGTTTGCTGTATGTTCGTTCGTGAAGCCAGAGAAGGAAGAGCAAGGGCGGGAGAGGCGCACAGACAATAAATAGCTAGGGTAATCTTTTAGAGATATTTGCATCACTAGTCCAGAACCTATTCACTTAATAGCAAATGAGTCCAATCCTTAATTTAAAAACTTCCCAACTATTAAAAAAGCAAAAAAATATATATATAGTATATAACACATTGCATAATTTTGTAACAATTAAATATCTCATTTGATGCCCTTAATTTTTATGGAAAACGTTAATTCATACACTTGGTTGTCACTGCAAGCTAATTTTGATGGGGAATTAAAATCAAATTTTTAGTAATTTTAATAAAAATTATAGTTTTCATAAAATATGTTAATTACTGACTTTAATTTTAATTTTAATTTAGATTTTAATACCTATCAAACATGAGCCTACATTCATTTTCTATTAATAATTTGCTTATCTGACGGTATAAGAGAACGTTTTTCGCCTTTAGATTATCTACCGTAACCAAAAAAGGATTCTCACTTGACACAATAATTTTTTCCAGTTGCATAATTATTATGTAGATGAAGACGGATATAGATATTAATACGCAAATATGATCTTGTGATTTCATATGTATACGGATCGTGACAAATAATAAAATAAATATTTTAAGTCTATATATCTTCCCTCAAAGATAAATATTTATATTAATCTAACTTAATCACCTCTTAACAAATCAAGATTTTATAATACAATTATATTATACTAAGTTAATCTAAATTAACCCAACTAATCTAATTTGTGAAAAACTTTTGAAATTAAATAGTTAAGAATTTCGATTTCACATCGGCTATTAAATATTCATTCAGTCCAATATCATTAAACCCCTTATTCATATTAAAAATCAAATTAATCAATTTTAGTTAGTAATCTCTTTTGGAGCAAAATTAACATTTTCTATAGAAACTCACACACATTTAGCATCTTTTTGACAATCATTAAAATAAAACTTTTTTTTTCATACTTATTTTCAAACACGCTTTCTCACAATAAAATATTCTACACATAAATTCAAAATTTTTTCTTACTTTTTAACCACACATTCTCCAAAAAATTTACTATTTCAAAACTTATTTTTCCCAAAAAATATTCATTTTAACGATTGTCAAACAGGGGCTTGAAATCATTAATTTCGCATGAGTTCAATCAAGATTCATATATTATAATCATCTTTAGATCTCGTATCAAAACCTGTCACTTATTGAACGAACAAAACAAATATATCTCATCTCGACTTTAATATTGTCTTAAATCAAAAAATTTGTTATCAAATAATTGAATGTCAAATAAACAAACAATAATCAATTAACACATAATCAATTTGACATGAAATCTATTGAATTAAACAAACATTAACGTATGTTACGTCGTTCATCCTAATAACCAATTATTTAGTCAATTATATTATTAAAATTAAATAATAATAAAATTTTAAAAACATCATCAAGTTCAATGTAAGGAATGAAGAAAAGAATCCCAACACTCGGTATTTTTAAGCACCCAATTCCCAACAATAAATTATCAATCTCCTTTGCAAAGCTTGTAAATTTCAGTCGATTGTGTTCTTCAACCTTCAAATCATAAATTGAGATACAAATCTCGAGGATTTAACGTGTTTGAAAGTGTATTTTTGCTTCAAGATTTTATCTCTAGTCTCCGCTCCTATTTGAATGAAATGATTTATAATTTGTATACCTCAATTTGGGTCCAAAATAAAATCCCAAGATTATAGGAAACAAAAATTTTGGTCAAATTTGGATATCCAAAATTGTTAGAAATTGTGCTTTCACTTATACACTTTAGTCCATTTTTTCTTAATTGGGTCGAGTCCTAAGATATTTCAATTGAGGCCCTTCAACCATGACTCCTTGGTCTCCTCAACTTCTAAAATATATTCAATTTTAACTATTTTTTATAGATTCCCGTTCCTTTTCGTCCGCTCTCGTTTACCCGAATTTCTCCTAAAATATTCAATAAACAAGTATAATTAAGTATCAACTATCCAGCTTATCATAATCACTACCAAATGTTGCTTTTGACGGTCAAAATAAGTTTAATATTTACACTAATCAAAATACATACTACTCGTGTAGCAAAAGTTTTCTTGCAAGTTTATGTTGTGTAAAATTGCTTCTTTGCCTCTAATATAGAGTATGTTTGGCTAAAAAAACAATTAAAATATGATTTTTTTTTTTGGACCAATATTAGTAGAGGGTAAAATCGTCTTTTCGCCAAAAATACTAACTTTCAAAAAGGTAGTGTTTATTTCCCTCCATTCTAGTTGCACTAATAAATTCTTATTTTTATGTGTAAAATCAATTGAGCTGATACCTGGTTTTCTACGTTCGAGATGGGAGACGGAAGTTGAAATCAGGTCACCCTGTTCATCGGGAGTTGGTGTGTGAAAGACTTGGTTATTTGGTTTTGTTTGTAGTCATTGTAAATTGGATTTGCATTTAGATATGTGAAAGGGTGTAAGATATGTAGTGAGAATGTGTATAGGTTTTGGGGTTTTTGTGTTAAATCTGTTCTGTTTAAATGAAGAGACTATTTTACTCTCAACTACATTGGTGAAAAAATGTCAAATTTTAATTTTATTGGTCAATTGACAATAGACTAGATAGCTACCAACAATTTGGGCTCCAAGCGCACGTACTTGAAAGTTTTGAGATCATGGTTGCAATAAATAAAATTTTAGGGATAAACTTGTAGTGTTTTGAAAGATTTGGTGTGCAGTTGCAATTATCCCAAAAGGCAATCCTAGGAATAAATTCAATTTCTTCACCATTCACTCCCTAAAACCCATACGTACACATATACATACAACGCCCTTGTTTTAGTCATATTTTATCAAAAATTCATTTTCAATCGCACTTTCTTCAAAAAATGCTATTCCAAAATATATTTTCCCATAAAATGGTACTCAAACAAAAGCAATAATTAGCAAACTAAATTACTAGGCAAGGTGGGGAGGGTGGGCCTGGGCAACGAGTTGATCAGGGTCGAGGCAATCGTTATGGTCAGTCATCGCTGTCTTCCATCCCGTCGAGTATTTTTGTCTCTTTGCCCCGTCCCTATATCCGATTAAGGCCGGATGGGATCGAGCGAGAGGGTCTTCTGCCACATTTATTTTTTTAATCATATTTTTTTCCATATCTTTAGTTGGTGAAAATCACTATTTTTTTCAATTTGTAAATAATTCATATTTCTTTTAAAAGTGATGATTATTTATTTATTTATTTTTGTGTTTATAAAAAAATTATATCTTGAAATGAATTTAAAGAGGACGGTGTCATACCCTTGTCTCAAGGCAGTGGTCCTCGCTCGCCCCTGCTCGATGTAACCAATTAGATTGGGAATCTTTGTCCCATTCGAGATGGAGTTCCACGGGTATAAAATTTAACAAGTTTTTTTGCTATTCTTAGGCATACTTATTTAACAAGAAAAGCTTCTTACATGTTTACTCGGCATGTTTACTCACTCAAATGATGACATCTATCTTACTTTCATTAAGCCGTTTGGACCACTTTATTTTCTTATTAAAATGAAATAAATGAATTTAAAGAGGACGGTGTCGTACCCATCCCACCCTTGTCTCAAGGCAGTGATCCTCGCTCGCCCCTGCTCGATGTAACCAATTAGATTGGGAATCTTTGTCCCATTCGAGATGGAGTTCCACGGGTATCAAATTTAACAATTTTTTTGCTATTCTTCGGCATACTTATTTAACAAGAAAAGCTTCTTACATGTTTACTCGGCACGTTTACTCATTCAAATGATGACATCTATCTTTTTGTATTACTTTCATTAAGCCGTTTGGATCACTTTATTTTCTCATTAAAATGAAAAATATGACCGATATCCATCATATCAATATTTAAATTCAAATTTTTTATCTCTTGTGTGGGCCATAATAACGACTATATTTTTCATTCTCATTCTATAAAAAAGTGGCTCAAACAATGCCTAAATAACATGTTTCTCTCCCACTTTAAAAAAAAAAATTAAAAATAAAAAAAAACCCACTCAAACTATCTTGTGTCATACATTTTTTTCTACTCTTAACTTTTCTCTTACTTCTTACTAAATTTTTAAATTTCCTCAACACCTACTATTAGATTTTTTTTTTTTTGAATAATATATGGTTAGAAAGTAAAGAAAATTTTTGAATTTACTTGTAAAATTATTTTTTAGGGAATGTATGATAGAATATGAGTTTATAAAAAATAAGTTTTAAAAAATCATTTAATTCTATAGTGGCCTAAGAATATAATAAACTGTTGATTGATTCTTCATGGTTTAATTCAATAGTGGCCTAAATTTTTATTTTATATACGTAAAAAGGGAGTAAAATAATTTATTTTGTAATTAATATCAAAACTGGCAACTATAGTGTTAGATACCTCTCAAATAAATAGTAGAAAGAAAGGCAAAAAGAAAGAAAATGACAAGAAAAACATGCAGAGATTATGTTGAGAATATTGAAGAGAATCAAGAAATGCTATTGAAAATGCTTAAAAGTGAATGAGAGGAATGAGCAAAATGTGAAAACAATAAGCTTGTAGCAGCAAAGCTCTCACAATCTCGACTGGCAGGCTAGTCAAGACATGAAATTCAAATATTGAAAAATGTAGTCCAAATCTTTCGTAGAAGATACAAATCACTCATTGCATCATCTACTACGAGGTATGACACTTTACCGACGAGGCAATCATCTATCATTAATCATTCCCTCTACTCAAGATAATTACAGTCTGGATGTCATGATATAATCAATAAGTAAAAAATTGCCTTCTAACTTTAGCGGACAAGTTTAGAAATGACAACAAGGTGCGCAATGATGCCCCCTTTATTCCTCCCCCACACCACCAAGGATCTTTCCATCGAGCCGTTCCTATTCCCGATTAAGTCGAGATCAGGGGTGGTTGGAGTCCGGGAACTCCCATT